AGGCGATCGGCTGGTAAAAGTCATGGGGTTCCTGACTGACCTACAGGTTTATAAATATCATTGCATCATGAGCTAAATCCAGAATTTTGTTTCAGAATCTGAGACAAAGTTACCGGATCCCTTTAAGGAAGTAGCCCCTTGGTTTTTTTTTAGGCAATGGGGAAAAGTAGCCCCCATAAAAAATTAATTCCTAGCCCGCGTGTCAGTGATAATATTTTCTTAGGATATGAAAAACGAACAGTTAAACAAAACACTCCTTTTGACAAGTTTTAGTTACATGTGTAAATCATAAAGCCACACGTTTAACACAAAGTGAATAAATCATGGGTATCTGAATGTCTGCAATACTCTACATGACATATGTACGCTACAATTGTATCTATATTTGCCTTTGCTTGGAATTTAATTAGGTAAAACCGCGTTTAAAAAAAATACCTTTAAAAAAAAAAAGCCCCCCTGAGCTCCAAAATAGCCACAGCAAAATAATTAAGGGGGGCTATTTTTTTAAGGGAAAATCTGAAAAGAGCCCTCGTAAAAACAAGAGTAATTTTTGGTTGGACAGCACACGTAGTTGTTTCGCAATAGACTTCTACATATGGCTATGCATGTTAGCGCACATGTGCTAAGAGAACGTGAAAGTGCGGAAAGTTGTGCGACACTGACCAATTTCGAGCTAAGTTGGAGATCTTTCCGAGGCCCTAAATCTGATTTAATTTTGAGAGTTAAGAAAAGTTGTTTAACTGCCTGATTTGTGCAAGTTTCGTGGCTCATAAATTATTTTTTAAATTGTTACAGCTGTTGAAACGGCTGTCTGACCGAATACTGGGAATAGACCGAATACTGGGCGCGCTACCATACTCCCTTTGCAGATTTAATGATAATTTCACCCAATCGGCTGTTTTACTAACTAGCCCACACGAGAAACCAACAAAACCAACCGAAGCTCCGACGCCTGCGGCGCCGGTGTTGGAGCTTCCCGGAGTTAAAGTAGAGTAAAGGAGCCCGTTTTCGGCCACTTAAGACAAAATCCTATTTTTAGGACTCTTTACTTCCTATTTATTATCATTTCTTGTTCAAATCATGAAGCAAATATTATTATTATTTAAACAAAAAAAGAATCCCAGAAAAAAATCACGAATTGCCATGACAATATTCATTTCAATTTTCACTGTTTTGGAGCCCGTTATCGGCCGAGCGTTTCAGTTTACGGCCGCATGTACAAAGTCAATAGGAAGCGCTCGCGCGCGCCGTGCGTTTCCGCGCTGATGTACAGCACAAGCGGGCGGAGCAGGTATCCCACACCGGAGCTCCCTGGTGCTCGCCTGGCCGAAGACAGGCACAGCGGTGATCGGAAGTTGGAATCTGAATTAGACTGAGATATCGTGTGTGCGTCGCGGTGTGCGGCTGCATTGATTTAATACATGCGATGACATACTTTTGAGCTTGCGACTAGCACAAAATCGGGCTTTAAATCTGAAAAATACTTGAAATAAAGCTCATTTTATAGTACCCATATTTCTTACAGACACGCGTAAGATACTCGATTTTTCAGATTTGGGTAGCGGGACCGGCGATTACATCGCTAAAATGTGATATTTTAGGATATATTTTCCATTGCAAATGTGGTTCTTCAGTGACACTGGCATGGTATGGTATGTGTGGGATATGTGTTATGCTATTATGCGATGTATTTTAGAGTGATTTTACCTTGCATCCAACCAATCGGCCGAAAACTGGAGCTGGCCGATTACGGGCTCCTTTACTCTAGACTCTAGGCCTGTATTATAGGGCCTAGGCCTAACCTAGAATCTAGAAGTAGAAATGTGTGGTCTACTCTAGAGTAGACCAAATTTTCCGTCTCTTTCGTTCGTTAGCCTCTTATTGGGGTAGGGTCGGCCGGCTCTCTCTATAGAGACGGAAACCGTCTATACACATTCCCTTGATAACGCCACGGCCATTTCAGGTCGTAGCGTTTTGCCCCCAAAATCCCCCAAAATGTCATTTTACCTCGTGCATGTTATATTGTAAATTAGGCCTAGGGTCTAGGCTATAATAAATCAGTTCCACTTACCAACTTGACTGAAATAATCAGTTTAATAGTCCCTTTTTAGGAATTTATGGGTCAAAATCGAAATCCATTTTGAAAATCTTTTTCAACATGGATTTCGATTTTGACCCATAAATTCCTTAAAAGGGACTATTAAACTGATTATTTCAGTCAAGTTGGTAAGTGGAACTGATTTATTATAGCCTAGGCCCTAGGCCTAATTTACAATATAACATGCACGAGGTAAAATGACATTTTGGGGGATTTTGGGGGCAAAACGCTACGACCTGAAATGGCCGTGGCGTTATCAAGGGAATGTGTATAGAGTAAAGTACCCGGTAATCGGTCAGCTCCGGTTTTCGGCCAATTGGTTGGATACATGGTAAAATCACTTTAAAATACATCGCATAATAGCATAACACATATCCCACACATACCATACCATGCCAGTGTCACTGAAGAACCACATTTGCAATGAAAAATATATCCTAAAATATCACATTTTAGCGATGTAATCGGCGGTCCCGCTACCCAAATCTGAAAAATCGAGTTTCTTACGCGTGTATGTAAGAAATATGGGTACCATAAAATGAGCTTTATTTCAAGTATTTTTCAGATATAGAGCCCGATTTTGTGCTGGTCGCAAGCTCAAAAGTATCTCATCGCATGTACATGTATTAAATCAATGCAGCCGCACACCGCGACGCACACACGATATGTCTGTCTAATTCAGATTCCAACTTCCGATCACCGCTGTGCCTGTATTCGGCCAGGCGAGCACCCGGGAGCTCCGGCGTGGGATACCTGCTCGGCCCGCTTGTGCTATACATCAGCGCAGAAACGCACGGCGCGCGCGAGCACTTCCTATTGACTTTGTACATGCGGCCGTAAACTGAAACGCTCGGCCGATAACCGGCTCCAAAACAGTGAAAATTGAAATGAATATTGTCATGGCAATTCGTGATTTTTTTTTGGGATTCTTTTTTTGTTTAAATAATAATAATATTTGCTTCATGATTTGAACAAGAAATGATAATAAATATAGGGTGTCTGAACGATTTTTCAATTTTCAATTTGGGATCGTTTTTCACCATTTTTGTTTGATATTTGAATAAAAAATGTTATCAGAATAATACATTTCAAATTTCAAGTCTCACCGATGTTTCTATCAAAAGTTACAGCCCCTCCAACACGCTGGTATATTCATATCATTTTGGTCAAAATCGTCGAAAAAGACGTCCACGCAGAGTGATGTTGTTTTGCTAAATTTAGCCAAACAGCTGTATCGCGCGATATGCAAGCGTATGCATATCGTACGCATGCTGCTAAGCCAATCCGCGACTTGCAGCTTGAGCTACGCTGTCTCCGCGACATGTGCGATTGACTAGTATGGTTGGCGTTCGTCGCACAATAAACCCGGAAGTGAATGCACGTTATAGTCAATGGCAATATCGCGGAGACAACGCACGTTGTCTCCGCGATATTGCCATTGACTATAACGTGTATTCACTTCCGGGTTTATCGAGGGAATTTCCAACCATAATTTCAGTCACTTGAATTTGGGGTTTCGTTCGTGCGCGGAGATGTTACGCGATGTAACCATGGTTTGGACTGAGCGGAGCGCACGCCCCCTAATTAGCTGATCCACCAAATAGCGAGAAGGGTATTTTTAAACTGTTATCAGTTGTGATCCCTGGGGGCTAGCGAAAATATAATCACATAGAATTGTTCCTTAGGACTGGGACTACTTATCGATCGGGGCGTCATATCTCAAAAGTGACAAACCTCAGAGTTAGCCAGGACACAATGTTTAAATTGCTGTTTTGACCAAGATATTTTTAGAATTTCGGGGGCTACGCCCCTTTGGAAATATTGGAATTCACCTGCTCTTTCATATGACACCTCATTCATTGATTATCACCTTCAGGATCACAACTGATAAAGGTTTGAATCTCGATTTGAAAAAAAAAATTGACTTTTTTTGCATGGTCGCGCAATGCACGTAGGCTGCATAGGGATGCGTGTAATCTCTATGGGAAGAATTTTAGCACACAACATCGGGTGCGCGATCAGACACCCTAATAAATAGGAAGTAAAGAGTCCAATAAATAGGATATTGTCTTAAGTGGCCGAAAACCGGGTACTTTACTCTAGACGGTTTCCGTCTCTAAAGAGAGAGCCGACCTAGACCGAATTTTCCGTCTCTTTCGTTCGTTAGCCTCTTATTGGGGTAGGGTCGGCCGGCTCTCTCTTTAGAGACGGCAACCGTCTATACACATTCCCTTGATAACGCCACGGCCATTTCAGGTCGTAGCGTTTTGCCCCCAAAATCCCCCAAAATGTCATTTTACCTCGTGCATATCCAAATTTAAATTAGGCCTAGATCTAGGCTATAATACATCGGTTCCACTTACTAACTTGATTGAAATAATCAGTTTAATAGTCCCTTTTTAGGAATTTATGGGTCAAAATCAAAATCCTTGTTGAAAAAGATTTTCAAAACGGATTTTGATTTTGACCCATAAATTCCTAAAAAGGGACCATTAAACGGATTATTTCAATCAAGTTAGTAAGTGGAACCGATGTATTATAGCCTAGGCCTAATTTAAATTTGGATATGCACGAGGTAAAATGACATTTTGGGGGATTTTGGGGGCAAAACGCTACGACCTGAAATGGCCGTGGCGTTATCAAGGGAATGTGTATAGACGGTTTCCGTCTCTAAAGAGAGAGCCGGCCGACCCTACCCCAATAAGAGGCTAACGAACGAAAGAGACGGAAAATTCGGTCTAGAGCCGACCCTACCCCAATTATCCAATAAGAGGCTAACGAACGAAAGAGACGGAAAATTCGGTCTAACTCTAGTCTAGAGTAGCGCGCTAGCGCCCATTTATCTGTAAGATTTACTAGGCCCTAGATCTATAAAAATTTAGTATAGAAATTTATTACTCACTTCCTTGACAAAATGATGATCTTTAAAGTAGTTCCAGCCGGCAGCCTCCAGCATGCAGCTAGCGATCCAGATCCAGTGCAGCATTGTCTTCAGACCGACTATTTTTCCCACACATAAGTTAATGTGTGGGACTCGTACTCATACTTGTACTACTAGTCTGAGCTATGCTTGGTTGGTAAATACTGCATCGATCCTTTCTCGCTTTGTTAAATTATTGCCCTCAAATACCCTTACAATTCTTCTTTCCTGGTGTTAATCTAACCTTTCCCCATACTGTGGGTTTTAAAGGAAGATATATGATATCTGGCGAAATGGCAGAGTTGACAGTTGACATCAATGGCAGGGATATTTGAAATTGAAATCAAACATTTCGTTCTCTACCACCACCAGATGGCAGCAAACCTAACTTGAGTTCTAGTCTTCTTTTCTTCAGTTTGTGACCCTCCGACAGGCCATTTTATTGAAAATCAATCTCTGAGTAACATATTCGAATACATGAATACACAAATGAATAACATATAATAGTTCAGAATAACATAAAGACAATTAATATCAACCATAAAAAGCGAATACTGAAACCATAGCATATTGATAATAATCTGTATAATTTATATTCATGCAAGAAATAGATTTTTTTTTAAACACTGCAACATCATGACTGAAAATAATGTGGGAAATTCAATATAATACTACTAAACGATCAAAATCCTTTTAAAAATTATAAATTTTGTAATCGAATTTGTCAGTTTTGTAAGAAAGTATACTAACTTGCCTGGTATATTGCTTTGTTGTCATGGTCTTGAAGGGTGGTATAGACTTTTGTATTTCAGTATACAGCTTCGTTTCTTTAGATTAATTAGATGTCATTCAATTATGATTTAAAACTCTTGGAGAATTAGAGAAACAAATTGTTACAATTCCATCTTATTGGATCAGTTCAAGGTTATTAAAACAATAGAGGATTTAGCTAATTCTTCTGATAATTCAAATTAAGACAGACAGATTTTATAAACATCTTAATTCTACAACATAAGTATACTTATAGGGAAAGTTGAGTTTGGAGCGCCAGTAAATTGTCCGAATCCGATTTTTGAACCTATTTGTATTTACACAAAAACATTAATCTATATTAATCTTTGGAAATTCTTTTAATTACTATACTCAATGTTCCCAAAACAAACAACATGTTACGTCGGATGATTGAGCAACCATCGCCAACATTATTTCCTGGCTAAAAAATGGGGTTTTGAACAGTTTAAGGTCGAATTGTTTTGAAGGGGTCCCTAAAAGAGTGTAACTTATTACGTTTCTTTATCGTCACATTTTGCAAACTTTCTGACCCCTCCATGCAAGAACTCAGCCCTTTATTTAATGTTGTCAAGAAGTCAAAGACGTGGCAATGCACACGATCGTTTTTTTAATATCGTGCCTATTTATGCCTTCTCATATAAAAAAAAACATGCAGTAAGTGACTGACCATCCCCTCCCCCGCAAAAACCCATCAATATTATGAAGAAGTATTAAAGAAACTGAAATAAATTACACAATATGAAAATGGTTAAAGAAAGAACAAAGATAGGAATATTAAAGATGCCAGAAATATAGCCATGAAAAGAATATCTCAAAAACCACAATTGTTTTGCGGAACAGAGGTTGCATTGGAGACCAGGCGCGGATCCACGGGGGAGGGGGGGGGGGGGGTTAACAGGCCCGGTTTAAAAAAATGGTTTTAAACAAAAAATGAAAATGGGGTCCCCTCCAGGCATTCTTCTGACATTCTTTATTTACTTTAACACATGAAACAATTAAAACGCGCAACATTTCACAGTGAAATAAACAATTTTTCGTAAAAACCTGGATATATATCCTCCTACTAGGGGCGGATCTAGCCGGCGGAAAAAGGGTGGGGCAAATCTTGAGAAAATATTTAGCGGCGAATTAGCCAGCCAGCGAATAAGTGGGGGTGGGGGGGGGGGGGGGGGGGGTGGGGGGGGGGGAGCACTTTTTTTTTTTGGCTTAGGGCGGGGGGGGGGGATGAGGGCTGTATCCGCCCCTGTAGGAGGCTATATATCCAGGTTACGAAAAATTGTTCATTTCACTGAGAAATGTGTGTGTTTTAGTTGATTTACACGTAAAAGTCAATAAAACAAGGCTGGGGGTGGGGGAGGGGCGGCTGGGAAAAATACTGCGGATTCGGGGGGGGGGGGGGAGCTAGGGAACGAAAAATGTCAATACGGACACTATGTCAACAGTCAACAACAAACAAAATGTTTATTTGTTTTCACTTTCGTTATGTTTGGTGTGAACGTTTTGATTCTCGAACGCCCATGATGTTTTTATTATTGATTGTTTTACTTTAATTATCATTGTTACATTGGTTCAAAAATAGTAGGCCTATGTTTAGAACAACTTTGAAACTAAATTTCATAGCTTCTGTACATTGTTTAAGTTTAAGTATTACGATGTTTTAAAAATATTGTATTATTTATTATATTGTATGTATATAACATTAAAAAGATGTGGCGAAAATGTTTCTTTTCTTCCTTGAAACATTCTTGTGATATCACGAAAACATTACATGTAGACTGTATGAATTTAAAAAAAAAAAATAAAAACATTAAAAAAATGTCATTTTATTTGTTTTGTTAAAAACGTTTTTGAATTGTTTTTTGTGACATTTGTACAACGTCTTAATCTAAGGATAACAACATTTTAACAACATTCTTAAAATGTTCTGCTTATATCATATTAATTGCATTTAAAAGATGTTGTAAAAACGTTTCTCTTCTTCTTTGAAAACGTTATTATGATATCACGAAAACATTACATGTGGACTGTTTGTAAGATATTTTTTAAACATTGTGAAAAACGTTAACAAAATGATTTTAAATTGTTTTGATAAAAACGTTTTTTAAATGTTTTTTGTGATATTTGTACAACGTCTTAATGTAAGGATTACAATATTTTTACAACATTTTTAAAATGTTTTTGTTATATCATATTTATAACATTTAAAAGATGTTGTAAAAACGTTTCTTTTCTTCTTTGAAAACATTTCTATGATATAAAGAAAACATTTCATGTGGACCGTTTGTAAGATGTTTTTTAAACATTTTGAAAAACATTCAAAAAATGTTATTTTAATTGTTTTGTTTATAACACTTTTAAAATGTTTTTTGTGACATTTGTACAACGTCTTAATGTGAGGATTACGAAATTTTAACAACGTTCTTAAAATGTTCTGCTTATATCATATCAATGACATTCTAAGGATGTTAGAAAAACGTTTCTTTTCTTCTTTGAAAACATTTGTATGATATAAAGAAAACATTTCATTTGGACCGTTTGTAAGATCTTTTTTAAACATTTTGAAAAACATTCAAAAAATGTTATTTTAATTGTTTTGTTTATAACGTTTTTGAAATGTTTTTTTTATATATTTGTACAACGTCTAAATGTAAGGATTACAATATTTTTACAACATTTTTAAAATGTTTTTGTTATATCATATTTATAACATTTAAAAGATGTTGTAAAAACGTTTCTCTTCTTTTTTGAAAACATTATTATGATATCACGAAAACATTACATGTGGACTGTTTGTAAGATATTTTTTAAACCTTTTGAAAAACATTCAAAAAATGTTATTTTACTTGTTTTGTTAAAAACGTTTTTGAATTGTTTTTTGTGACATTTGTACAACGTCTTAATCTAAGGATAACAACATTTTAACAACATTCTTAAAATGTTCTGCTTATATCTTATCAATGACATTTTAAAGATGTTAGAAAAACGTTTCTTTTCTTCTTTGAAAACATTTCTATGATATAAAGAAAACATTTCATGTGGACCGTTTGTAAGATGTTTTTTAAACATTTTGAAAACATTCAAAAATGTTATTTTAATTGTTTTGTTTATAACGTTTTTTAAATGTTTTTTGTGACATTTGTAAAACGTCTTAATGTGAGGATTACAAAATTTTAACAACATTCTTAAAATGTTCTGCTTATATCATATCAATGACATTCTAAGGATGTTAGAAAAACGCTTCTTTTCTTCTTTGAAAACATTTGTATGATATAAAGAAAACATTTCATTTGGACCGTTTGTAAGATCTTTTTTAAACATTTTGAAAAACGTTACAAAATGTTATTTTAATTGTTTTGTTTATAACGTTTTTGAAATGTTTTTTTTTGACATTTGTATAACGTCTTAATGTAAGGATTACAATATTTTAACAACATTCTTAAAATGTTCTTTTTATATCATATCAATTACATTTAAAAGATGTTGTAAAAACGTTTCTCTTCTTTTTTGAAAACATTATTATGATATCAGAAAAACATTACATGTGGACTGTTTGTAAGATGTTTTTTAAACATTTTGAAAAACATTCAAAACATGTTATTTTAATAGTTTTGTTAAAAACATTTTTGAAATGTTTTTTGTGACATTTGTACAACGTCTTAATGTAAGGATTACAATATTTTAACAACATTCTTAAAATGTTCTGCTTATATCATATCAATGACATTTTAATGATGATAGAAAAACGTTTCTTTTCTTCTTTGAAAACATTATTATGATATCACGAAAACATTACATGTGGACTGTTTGTAAGATGTTTTTTAAACATTTTGAAAAACATTCAAAAATGTTATTTTAATTGTTTTGTTTATAACGTTTTTGAAATGTTTTTTTTTTGACATTTGTACAACGTCTTAATGTAAGGATTACAATATTTTAACAACATTCTTAAAATGTTCTTTTTATATCATATCAATTACATTTAAAAGATGTTCTAAAAACGTTTCTCTTCTTTTTTGAAAACATTCTTTTGATATCAGGAAAACATTACATGTGGACTGTTTGTAAGATGTTTTTTAAACATTTTGAAAACATTCAAAAATGTTATTTTAATTGTTTTGTTTATAACGTTTTTTAAATGTTTTTTGTGACATTTGTAAAACGTCTTAATGTGAGGATTACAAAATGTTAACAACATTCTTAAAATGTTCTTTTTATATCATATCAATGACATTCTAAGGATGTTAGAAAAACGTTTCTTTTCTTCTTTGAAAACATTTGTATGATATAAAGAAAACATTTCATTTGGACCGTTTGTAAGATCTTTTTTAAACATTTTGAAAAACGTTAAAAAATCTTATTTTAATTGTTTTGTTTATAACGTTTTTGAAATGTTTTTTTTAAATATTTGTACAACGTCTAAATGTAAGGATTACAATATTTTTACAACATTTTTAAAATGTTTTTGTTATATCATATTTATAACATTTAAAAGATGTTGTAAAAACGTTTCTTTTCTTTTTTGAAAACATTATTATGATATCACGAAAACATTACATGTGGACT